TCGCCGTTACCCGGGGAACCGGCCCGAGCATCACCGCGGGGCTGGGGACCGGGACCGCCCTCGTCCCCGTCCGGGCGCGGGGATTGCTTCCCGCGGATCCTCTCCTCCCGCAGACACTCTCCATCACCAAGGACCGGCTACTCCAGCCACTCTGGCGCTTTGCACCTTCTGCTCTCCAGCCTGGCACCCCACCAGCTGCAGGGTTAAGGGATCAGGCCACGTGGGCAGCAGGACCATGTCACCCCACTCACAGCCAAGCTGGAGCTGCCTGCCCTACCTATAAAGATTCCTAGGGATGGAGGTAGTGAATAGCTAATGAAGGCTGTGCTAATGAATGGCTGAAGAGCTTCCAAATGTTCTTTGCTGGGTGTTGTGTCTTGCTGTGTGTCCCAGCTCTTACCCAGAGCCAGGTAGGGGGGGTTGATCACAAGGAAGATGCTCAGGAGCTGGAAACACACGGAGGGGTTTGCTGCTGCAAGCACAGAGGATGTGCATGTCACTTCTTGTTCCCCCAGACCAGAGGCTGTACAGGGTTAACCTGAGGCTACAGGAAAACTGGGAGCAAGAGCCACAGACACTATCCAAAAAAACCTCTATTGGCAGCACAGCCATACACTAAATGAGGGGATTTTTGTTTCCCCCCATCCAAAGTTATTTTCAGCTTGACAGAAGTTCCTCTGAGACTTTTCTATGCCAATCATTTACAAGCTCATCAGTATGACTTGCTCCCTTCTGCTGCATGAGCTACTGGAAGATGATCGTTCTCATGTTCATGTCTCGTTTTAATGAGGCACACTCCCATGAGTGCTTCAATAAACAAACACCATTTTGTCCACACACACAGTGGAAGAGACAGGCCACGAGTGGGCTGAAGCTCTGCTCCTGCGACTGCAAATGCTTGGTTTAGTTTTTCCACCAGCAATTCTCCCTGGAGGGACTCTGGCAAAGCAAACACCGCCTGAACTCTGCTGTGCAAGCTGCCCCTGCACTGAGACAAAATCATCAGTAAATAATTAACAAATGTCATAATGGCTCAGACCTTCAAATGCAGCTGCTCCTGTTGAAAGTTAACCACAGAGTATTTGCAGCCAGTGGTCCAAGATAAGCAAGAGAGGAAGGTTTAGGGAAGCAGTGTGGTGTGGACACTCAGTGGGGACAGTGGGAAGTTCTGATCAAATACCTGCACCCAGCCCTGGGAGGCAGGAGGGATCTGGCAGGGGTGAAGTGAGAGCAGTGAGGAAGGAGGTGACTGGACAGGCCTGAGCAGGGCAGCCTGGGGACGCTGGGGCATGAGACAGAGCAGCACAGCCTGCTGAGCAGGAGACAAGGAAGAGCAGGCAATTCAAACCAGCAGCTGTGACACACTGAGCAGAATCCTGGAAATGAGCTCTGGGAGTGAAAACAAGGAAAAAGGCAGTGTTTTCAGCTGGCATTTAATAGGAATCTGGCTTTGAAATTCATGATTTTCGGACACAGAGAAGGCACTTAAATCTGAATTCAGCCCTCCAAGGGCAGCTCTGTTTTCTGTGAATAATTACCGGGGAGGAAAAAAAGAAAAGGAAGAAAAATATTATGGCTTGTCAGAGCAGCCCTAATATGCTAATCACAGTGCACCCAGCATGCTAATCACAACAGGGGCACACAGCCTGTTATCTGGGAACACGGCAGATGCTGTCACACCACCCAAGGCTATTCCAGTTGCTCTGGCATATTGCAATGAGCTGTGTGGAGAAGCAGAACAGAAATGCATGGGCAGGAGGAGCACAGCACCATCAGTGAGACTTTGCCACCAAGTGGCTCAGGTCACTTGAAGAAGAAGCCATGCTTCAGCGGGTCCTCCTCTTCCACAGTGAAGGTGGCTGTGCCAGTGTAATAGGCTTCTCCCGAGACTTCCACAATGACAGCATTGTAATCCCCAAACTTGGCTTCCTGCAGAGGGATTAGGATCAGGACAGAGGTGACAACAGGTTCTCCACTCTCCCAACCTCACAAAATGCCAGTGCTACCTGGCACTTATGCAGACACTCTTCCCCGAGCACTCTGCCCTGCCCAGGTACATCCCAAAGCATGCAGCAACCATGCAACACCACAAGATCTTACTGTTATTTGCTTCTCTAATTAAAACCTTGAAGCATGAGGTTTTTGAGAGGGCAGGACCCCCAGGCACCTTCCCCCTCCCATACACCCTTCCCAAGGCACAGAAAGGCTTTTCTGCTTCCCCACAAAGCCAAGGCAACAGCATTTTTTCCAGCAGTCCTTGAGACAGGGGGAAAGTCCAGCACAAGCCACTTGCCTTTACTGCCTTCCCAGTGAACAATGACCCTGTGGTGCTGCTCCGGAAGGTTCTGGTCTGATTCAGCTGGATGAGTCCCTTATGGTACTGCAAGGCAATGCGAGCTGTCACTCCTGAACCTGTTGGACTTCGGTCAACCTACAGGCAGAATGGAAGATGAACCAGCTCCAGTATTTTGGGGTTTAACAGAAAATTATATTGCTCCCTTCAGACCTCTTTGTCACCTTCATACTGCCCTTGGGGCAACCCTCTACCCCAGGGTTTTGTACTGAATCCAGATACATCACAAATGAGAAGAAAAAAAGCAAAAGGTCTGGGGCACTTCTGAGTTGTGATTAGCTTTGGCAAACTTTTAGAGATGGATGACCTAATAGATACTGAGGCTATTTAGGGAGTACTTGAAAGCTTCCCAGCACCAGAGTGAAAGGACTGAGAATGGCTGAGGCCACCTGTCCCATTCTCATGCCTCAAGGCAAGATTGGTTCTCCTGCTGGCCAGCCTGGTTTTCAAAACCACCAGCTTCCAAGGTGGCCTGTCCCAGTGCTCCACACTCCTCACTGCTGGGAAGTCCAGCCAAAACTGCCCCTGACATTTATGTGATACCTTATCCACTACAGACAAGGACAGAATTTTAGATCAAATTTCTTTCTGTTCATCCTCAACCATTCTCTAGATTAGGACTTTAGGGACTTGCACAATGTTGGGATCCCAACCCCTGAAGTCCTGGGAAGTGCCTGCCAATGGGACATGGTTATGAACCCTTTTAAAATGCCTCTAAGATGTGCAGAGGTATTTGTGCCATTAGGAACTAAAACTGTATGTGTGCAGTGACACTTGGCTCTTCAGAGACATGACAGTAGCAGAAGCCATCACATGCCAAACTGAGAGCAGAACTGTCCCTCTTCTCTGTAGTGGTTCTAAGAAGGGACAAAGGTGGTGCCTCATGTGCCTCAGAAGAGCCCATTACTGTACCTGTTCATCTGCAAACACACAGATGTTGGTGGTGGGCTCCTCGCTAAAGTCATCTTTCCCATCTGTCAGTATGGTGCCGTAGAGGAAAGCCAGGTCTTCACTTTCAGGGTGATGAAGCTTGAACTGGGAACAGCACAGAAAGGGTCACCAACATATGCAGCAGCTAAGCGAGCAGTACAGCTTCTGTGAGAGACCAGAGGAATGGGACAAGGCCATACTGCTGCATTTCCACCTCTGTCTTTCTAGTAACACAGACAGAAACAGGAAAGTGAGCTCTTTCTCACAACTGAGCTCCTTTTGAGAGAGAGGAGGACTCTGAAAGGATGTGCCCCTCCAGTCCTGAGTGTCTCAGTCTGATGCAGTCATCCCAAAGGGAACACTCTGGGGTGCTGCAGGGCTCCACCATACCTGTTTCTTCACTGCTTCAGTCACTGCACTCGCTGCACTGACGAGGTCTCTGGTCTTTGACAAGCTCGCATCAAGGCCCAGCTGCTCGGCACTGAGGAAGGCATAGAAAGTGCCACCATAGCCAATGTCAACCACCACCTTCCCGTGACCAGGGACATCAATGGCCAAATCTGGGCAGAGAAAGCAAGAGCAGTGAGGAGGAGAAACCATGCTGAGCCATGGGCTTGGATACAGAGTGGAAAAACCCAGCTGCATGCAAGGACAATGGGCGGGGATGACTTGAGTGCTCCCCTGCCAGAAAGCAGCATGTGATGCCTTATAACACCCCTCCAGCCTCAGAGGAACACCGGAATTAGTGAGGGATTTGCCAGATGCCCCTCACCAGACTGCCAGCGCCCAACCCCCGCACAGTCCCCACCGACCCTCCCCAAAGCCAGCACAGCGCTCCCGGTCCCCACCGGTGGCAGCAGCGAAGGCAGGCACGCTGTGGAAGCGCACAGGGTTGCCGCTGCGGTGCCCATCCCAGGGCACAAAGGCGGTGAC